TGTGTTCAGCTTTACATAGAGACATAAATGCATGAAAACACAGAATGTGTGTTCAGCTTTACACACAGACACAAATAAATGCATGGGAACTCAGAATTTGTTCTCAGCTTTACACACAGACACAAATAAATGCATGGAAACTCAGAATTCTGGGATGGCTTGGGTGGGAGGGGACCTTAAAGCTCATCCTGTCCCCCCCTGCCAGGGGCAAGGCCAGCTCCCACTGTCCCAGGCTGGTAAATCCCCCAACACCCCAGGATTTGTGTCTGTGCTCCAGCGGGTGGCCCTAAAGCTGATTATATCCCCCAGGGATAAAACAAGAGTGGGGAGGCACAAATGCAGCTCTGTGGACATGTCTGGTGAATCCCTCAGCAAGCAATCAATTGGGTTTTTACCTTCAACAAAACAAATTCTGCCTGCCCAGAGGTGTGGCTTGTTCACCTCAAGCCTTTCAAAAAGCTTGGATTTGATGATCTGAAAGGCTTTTCCCCCAACCTTAATCTTTCCATGATTCCATGGCTTATGAAAAGCAAATGGAAATTCTGTCTACAGCGTTTTGACATAATAATAACGACAGCAATAACATTATTATTATTAATAATAATAGGAATAATAATGGTGAGAGGGTGGGAATGCTCCTCCAGTGCTGTCCCTCCCAGCCAGAACAAAGAGGAGTGGAATATCCTTGGATTTCTGATGTCCTGGGGGAAAAGGAGGTGGTCTGAGAGCAAATCTCCAGATCCTCATTTCACACCTGCAACACTTCCAGAACTTCCATCTCAAACCTAACCAGGAACTGAGGTGCCCAAACCACGAAATAAATAAATATTTGTGATATATATAACCAGCCCCAGTACTCACAGAGCCAAGTCACCAATCCAGCTCAGTACAATTAAACACAAGTGGGTAACATTGATTTCCTGCAATCCCTTTAAGCAGCAGGTGTGAACAAAGCAAAACACAGCAGATAAAATGCACACGGTCTATACTTATTCTTGAACTTAACAGATTCTGGTTTGTCTTTAGACAAACTTTGACTTTGTACATGATTAGACTTGTTTAATTGCTAATTCTGTTTTAAATCTAAGTTAATTTCTCATTACCCTTCCATTTCTACTTCTTATCCTCTGGGGAAAAGAGCACACTTATCATTGGGACATTCTCACATCTTCCAAGGAAGTGGTGGAGGTGTTAATCTTATGTTTATGTTTGATGTGGGTGTGATGACTCCAGCTCGGGTTTATTAATATGCACGGCTATCACCTCATTAGTTGTGAGCTTTGTTTTGAAGTGAAGCTGTAATATTTGCCGAGATGTCTGATCTGCAATAAAAGACTCCCTTCATTGTTTGTCTCCTTGCCTTTAATTCCCTGCTCCAGCACTCGGGACTGCTGCAGCCCTTCCTTGGAAATTCCTGACTCTCCTGCTGCTCTTTGCTCAGGAGGGACCTGGGTTACTGCTCCCAGGGTGAGGAACAGATGTGGGAATACACAGCTGCCTCCAGACTCCTTGGAAACATTAAAATGGAATAAGTTTCTCATTTTTTTTTCTTTTTTTTGGGAAGTTTTGTGTAGGGATAACGGGGCTTTTCTATTCTTTAAACAGCATTTTTCACGTTGTTTGTTTCAGTTTTTGGTGGATCAGAATTAATTTCTCCAAGTAGACACATTTTAAATAAAATTTAACAGCAAAAAGCAAGGAATAAATGAGATGTTTAAAAAAAAAAACCACCCCAAATTAGCTGCAGGAAAGAGAATAAACAGCAAAACCCCAAAGTGACTTATGTCCAAGCAGGTTTAAAGCCTTTCACTGTCCCTGACCATGGTAGATTTTACAGATCTGAGCCTCCAGCAACACTTGTGGCTGCCACATGAGATTTCTGAAGCACCAAAGAAAATTCACTGCCTATTTTCTGTTTCCACTGCCAGTCAAACATCTCATTTCCATGTGGATTCTTGCCACTGTGCACCTGTTTGCAACCCTGGGCTTCCAAATCCCTGTAAAATTCATTTCTCTCCTCAGTCCTTTTCAGGGGAGGAGGGAGAGCAATAAAATAACAATAAAAATGTTTTACAAGAAAGTGTGCAAGGTTAATGAGTGAGATTCATTCTGCATTACCCCACTGGACTCAAAGCAGATGCTTGCTTGGTCTTTGGAGAAAGTGATGTTAAAATTTCCTGGGAAAAACAGAAAAAACATCTGCTGCTCACCTCTGTGTAAAATCTTCAGGCTCCATAAATAGGTCAGGCCTTTCACAACCTTTAGGTAAAAGAAAGAAAAAAAAAAAAAATAAAATCACATTTTAGGGATTCCTGAGAGGAAAAATTGCACATTTCAGCTGGGGTGGGAGATCAGAGAAGCCAGATGTCAAATGAAGGCAGAAGCAGGAAAAGGGGAGACCCCTCCCCTGCTAAAAACCTGCAGCAGGCCCTTTATTAATGCCCAAATTAAAAATGCACAGGTTAATTTCTTGAACTCAGCTGAGCTCACACTGGATCCCTTCAGGCATCTCAGGGGTGCCCTTGCTGGGTGGTAAAAATCACCCAGGCCAAGGGATGGAGGGATTTTTCTTCTTGAAAAAGGCCAGAAACCCAGAAAATCTCTTTATAACCTCTTCCACTCCATCCTCCCTTCCCTTTTTTCCCTTGCTGCACCCTGGGCCTTTTCCTTCTCTGTCTTTTATTCACTCCATGCAAATGTGGGACTTTTCTTGTTGAGCTGTGAGAATTCCCAGGTTCTGCCCTGGCTCTGGAGCAAAAAAAATCTGCTGCATCCCCCAGCAGGGACATGGCAGCTCCTAAACACAGCTCCAGAAGGAAAAAATTCCTAAAACACAGCTCC